CCCCCCCCCCCAGGGCAGTACTAGACCTGCAAGGCAGAATTCCGGACCCCCGAAAAGGTCTCAGACCCCCAAGGCAAGATGTGGGAAACGTGGAGGAGCACTCGGAACCCCCAGGGCAGGATGTGGGACCCCCCCCAGGGGAAGCCCTCACACCCCTAAGGCAGGGTGTGGGAACCCTGGGGGCGCACTCAGAGCCCCAAGTCATGATGTGGGACCCCTGCGGCCTCACTCGGACCCCCAAAGCAGGATGTGGGACCCCCGAGGGAGCACTCCTATCCCCAAGGCTGGATGTGGACCCCCGAGGCGGCATTCGGACCCCCAAGGCAGGATGTGGGACCCCCGCGGCCTCACTCGGACCCCCAAGGCAGGATGTGGAGGCACCCCCACCCCCGGTGCAGCCTCGGACCCCCTCGCAGGATGTGGGACCTCTGCGGGGGCACTCAGGCCCCCAGGACCAGACCACTCGGATCTGAGGGAAGATCCCGCTCGGAAGCCGGAGAGAGACGGGTGAGGGGAAGCGCCCGCCCAGGGTCGGATGCCTGCGCCTGCCCCGCTGGCGGCACTACCCGGCGCGGGCATCCGCCCCGGGCAGGCTCCGCCGAAGCGAAGCTAGCCCCCTGCGGCGGAGTCCCAAGCTTTGCCAGCCCGGGACCGCTCGCGCCAATCAAGCGACGGCGAGCACGTGACGTCCGGGGGCCAATGGGGAGTTCGCATGGGAACACGCCCCCCCCGAGGCCCCGCCCCATAGCGTGCAGGCCAGCGCAGGATGTGGGCCCTGCGGGCCGCCATCCGCCCGGCGGCCTGGCTGTCTCGCGTAGTTCTCGGCCGCCGGGCTCCGAGACCCGCGCCGCCGCTGCTGGTCTGCCCCGAGCGCGCGTTCGCCGCCTTCGACCCCGGGGACCTCAAGGGGCGAGGGGGCGGAGGACGGGGCCCACCGGCTGATGGCCCGAGAAGCCGAACGGGAGAGGTGGAGGAACCGGAAGATGCCGAGGACGAGGAAGAAGAGGAGGAGGAGCTGCTGAGGAGGGACCCTTTGCTGCCGGTGGGGACCCAGCGCGTGTGCCTGGTTCACCCTGAGGTCAACTGGGGACCCGGGAAGCCGCAGCTGACCCGAGGTGCGCAGGAACTGCGCCGCGGGCGGGGCCGGGGACTCTGAGAGGCGGGGCTTCCAGGGGGCGGAGCCTCGGGAGAATCGGGCCGGAGCTCGGTGGGGGGGCGTGGCTGTAGGCACTTGAACTCCGGAGTGGAGACTAGGGGGGCGGGGTTTTCGGGACCGACTGGGGGCGGAGATTGGGATGGGCGGGGCTTCCAAGTCCAGAGCTCAGGGCTGGCGCTCTGGGGGCGGAGATTGGGAGGGGCGGGGCGTCGGGGGCGGAGACTCGGAGGACCGGGGCTGAGGGGGCGGGGCGCCAAGCGCAGCACGGAAACGCCCCCACCCATCTCCCCCAACCTGCTGGAGGCAGCCCCAGCCCCCTGCTGCCTGGCCCTGTCCCCTCTCTGCCTGCTCCCTGGTTAAGCCCTCCTCTCCCCTGCAGCGTGTGTTGTGTCCTACCCGTTCTTTCCTGTAAAGAATCTAGCAAAAGTCTAGAGTCAGCGTGCCCCGTCTGTGTGTGTTCGTGTGTGTGTGGGACGGATCCTTAAGTACCTTACTGTGCAGCATTTTCATTCATGTAACCACTGAATACTAAAGATTGCGCAAGAAGATGGTCATCGTGCATGCACTTTATACCCGGAACCGCAAACCCTTGTCTGCCTGCCCTCTCGAGGGCAGCTGCCTGGCACCGCCATCGTTCCCCCCAGTCACTCACAGCCAGTTAGCTGGAGGCTCGGGGCACAGCACGCACTCCCGGCAGAGAGCCACCTCCTGGGCCCACGTGCTGCGGGTGGGCGAGATGTGGTTCGAGGGTCTCAGCAGAGCGGTCCTTGATGGCCTGGGAAGACCAGAGCCCACAGCAGGAAGGGGCAGGCACAGAGGTGTGAGGACAGTCTCCAGAGAGGGGTCCTCCAGGGAGCACGGCCTGCGACCCTCGGCAGGATGGGTGGCTGTGGGGAGGTGGGGCCGCAGAAGGAGGCCCTGTCCCCTTAATACCAGCCACTTTGCATCGCATCCCCATCCCGTCCCTCACAGCCACGAATCTGCTCTCTGTTCCTGTGAATTTTCCTGTTCAAGAACATTCCATCTCAGCGCTATGTTCCTTGTTTTCTCTTTTAAAGCCTTTTAGAGTAGTGTTAGTTGCACTGGAAACTTGAGAAGACAGTACAGAGGGTTCCCCGTACCTCCTGTCCCACCTGGTTAGCCTCGTGTGTTACCAGCATCCCCACCAGAGCAGGACACGTGTTACGATCCAGGAACCTACGTGAACACGGAATCACCCAGAGTCCGCGGTTTACAGTATGATTCACTCTCGGTGTTTCACGCTCTGTGGGTCTGGACCATGTGCGACATCACGGATCCATCGTTACAGGATTCTGCAGAGGGTTTCACTGCCCCTCCTGTTCGTGCTTCACCCCACCCCCTTCCTGGCAACTGCAGATGTTTTTACTATGTGCCTCGTTCTGCCTTTTCCAGAACATCATAGGATTAGAACCATCCACTACGCAGCCTTTTCAGACCGGCTCCTGTCACTCAATCACATGCATCTAAGGCTCCTGCGTGAGTTTCTGTGGCC